CTATGCCCCCAAACCTAACAATAACCACAATATTTTCTGCTACTATTTTGGATTGTTTGTATTATGCTTTAACAAACATTAGCATTTTTATTTGAATTACAGAACACAAAAGATGTTTCGTCTCATTTGCAAATGCTATTGGCACCACTATTGAAATCTCAACTAGCTTTTATTCTCGGTGTATAATTTAGGCTATTATTAGGGTGTGTTTGGGAGTGATGGTAGGAGTGATTTTTAATTGATTTTCTAAAATCACCATCTAAATGATACCTTAAAAATAAATTTAAAGTGATTTTAAGCTTTCCTAAAATTAATTTTTTTATTTGCCAAACATGATCAATGGAAAGACAGTGGCAAAAGTTATTTTGGCCATGGCAGAGTGTGTTTGCCCTTGTCATTGTCAATTGATGTCATTTTGACAAGTACCAAAATCACTTTTTGCCATTGTCAAAATCACTTGATATATTGCAAATAAAAAAATTGTTTTTATAAAAGCTTAAAAATCACTTTAAATTGATTTTTAAGGTATCACTTGGATGGTGATTTTGGAAAATCAATTAGAGTTAAATCTCTTCTTTCAAAATTACTCATTCTACCATCACTCACAAACATACCTTTAGCAGTAGAGGTGCAAAAAATTCTCCCATGCATAACTTGTGAATTCTTACTTACCTCCAAACTAGCCATCAACTAGTGCAATTTGCACAACCGTGGCCACTACCAACACACGACCTAACTTGCCAAGGGTTATTAACTGTTTCTCTCCTCCCATTTGTAACGTAGGTAAGCAGCAGTGAACTATACTGGTTACATGCCCGCCATTTCCTGGCGCCCATGCTTTCACGAAAAATCTGAAAAATTAGTTTGTAGAGCAGAGAACTGCTCCCAAGTAGCCTCTGCCACAGGTTGATTGCGCCATAAGGGCTTCAGTCTCATCTGGAGCTGCAGACAGCAGGGTCCAACACCTAAAATAGCATCTGGAATAAACAGAAGCTCCATGTAAATTTTAGATAAATCTCGACAGACCCTTTATGCTTAGCTGTTCCAATCGATGCCTAATATAGAGAGGTTTGAAATTGAAACTCTCATACATTGGCTTGAGTTCTTCTCTGCCTTCCCTGAACCACCTATCAATTACTTAAACAACCATAACTGCGGACTACTAACTCACTCACTAAAAGTTATTGTAACCATTGCTCTCCTCCCATAGGTGGCTTACATTCCTCATCAAGCTCATTTTTTCTTTGTCAAAGTAAAACTTTCTCATATAAAAATACCCTTTATCCATTTTTTGATGAATTTGTCTCTCCTTTATTCTTCTCTCACTCCTCTGGCTCTGACCATGTTGTCATTAGATGTAACAAGCATTGCCCCCATGGCCAAAACCACTTCCATTTGTTATTATAGGAATACTCGGAAGAGAGATGATCTTTAGGATGGAGAAAGTCACTGGAAAAATGGATTTTCTTGTGGACCTTTTGGAAAATGTCTATTTCTATTCGCTGGACTCTTAACGGATAAGAGATTCGATCCTTTCAAGGGAGATTGTCACAGTTCTTTGGAAGCCTAAGTATATAATTCTTCATTTGGTTCTTCATTCTAAATGGTTACTTCGAGCACTACGAACCAATTGACGTTTCTTTTGATATAATGTGCAACAGAATGTGAAATATCTTTTCCATTTTTCCCCCTTTTCTTTTTGCTGCAAATAGTTTTGTTCAAAGAATTCAATTTGAGTTGAGATTATTGATTCTCATCTGAACTTGTAAATCGTAATGTGTGATTCAGGGTGGATGTGCTTGCTTATGTTTTGTTCAAGTTAAACCTCGGGAGCACAGCTGAAGAGAGATGGAACCAGTATTTGTGTATTATGCCAAACCCTTCTAGAGGCATGTCAAAAATTCAGTTTGACACACCATTGTTGTACAAGCTTTGTATTTTTCTGTTTGTAATTTAAAAAACTGTTTCTGGTCCTTAGTTGATTTGACCTTTACCTGGAATGACATATACAGATATAAGAAACCAAAAAAAAAAAAAAAGCAAAATTCGTCAAGGTCGAGTTTTTATTGTATGTGCTTCTGTTTGCCTTCAATTCCAGTTGTTTGAATTAAATTGAATGAACAGAAGTGTACTTTGTTGGTCATGATTTTCCAGTGAAGATTTGGGGATTTAGCAAAGGCATGGTGGTTTCTTTTTGACAGTTCCAAATGAAGAATATCATTCTGTAACTAGTTCTAAAGGCCAGTCCTTAGCCACTTGATCCAGGGACTAGGAGGAATGCATCAAGGTTTTAAATGTCGATGTTTTCATGAAAATGTCGGTGTCGATAGATATTTATGGAAAAGTTGTAAAGATAAAAAATTCGTAAAAAAATTTAAATTAACAAATTAGAAGTTTATCCTTAAAGTTAAAAATAATTAATATTAATATTATGTCTGTATTAATAAAGCTTTTATTGGTATTTTTTATATTTTGTCGATTTATTGGTGGTGTTATGGAAATGTCGATTTATCTTTTATGCTGATGTCAAACTCATATCGATAAATATTTAATAATATGTTTATGGTACAATCGCTAGTTAGCTCCAACCCCTCAAATAATTTCTTGATTGGTGAAATACAAAGACTAATAATAGCTGGTTTGGTTGCTCTATTTTTTATCTACAAAATTTTTGTCGAGCTTGGAATTATATTACATTTGAAATTTAAGAATAATTCATCTTCGTTTTCTCATTTTCTCATTCTACTATACTTGAAGGCAGATAGTTACACAATTTTGAGGATAATTGGCGTACTCGTATTAGCGCCGTAATCTTTGATTATGAAGAAATCATGGATTGGCATTCACTACGTCTTATATAAGACTCGTGAGTGTTTCATAAACACGATCTGATGAGTGTTGCATCATTTTTGTTTTGTTTGAGCTCATCTCATATCATACTAGTAACCGATGAATGAGGATTTTCTTGTCTCAAGAACTTGAAGATTTGAAAGGTCACATCTGCCATCTTAGATTTAGATACGAAATTAGCTTTTTTTAATATATTTTTTAAAATTTTCTCTCATTGTGGTGTGAAAACTTTAAAATCGCAACCTAGGACTGAACTCTTGCTTATCAAAATCTCCATCTAGCTCTATTATATTTAGTAAAAAAAAAAATACATTGATCAAATCAAAGTTTTCAAAAGTCTGTTCACAATTGAAAAAATAGATAAAAATATAGAGAAATAATCAATATGATTTCAACTTTTTTGTTTTGTCTAGTGCAAAAATACCGATTCCCTCCCACTTTAAAGAACTTTAAGAATGATAATAGATATCTTATCCGTCAAACAATCCTGACATTATCAAAATGCTAAAGTTACTTAAAATCGAATGACATCACAACGTTACAAAAACTGGCACCTAATTGAACATATATGAACACTTCTAGTAGAAATATCTCCATTTACACTTTTCACTGATCATTACACACAAGCACACTACTCATAATATTGAAGAATCTGTCATGGTTTCTCTGGTTAAAAATTCTAAGATTATGGAAGTTCCTGAAGTAATAAGCAAATCAGACAGCCCACCTTCTATTCTGTATTGCAAAATCGCTCCTATAAACTTGATTCATCAATGTGTTAATACTTCATAGAACTTGATTACGTGAAATTTTCGAAAAGCACTCTTCCACCAATAGGAAGAAACCATAATTCCAGGAAGGTGTTTGTACCAAATTAGTCCGAACCTAAGCTTTCGAGCTGTGTTTGTTCTTCTATAACCTTACAGATAAAAGGACTCGCACGACTCTGAGCATGAGCGACTTGCGAGCAGTTTCTTCAGGCCTTTTGGGTTCATCACACATGGGTGGCTTGTCATTTTGAGTGAGATGGCAAATCCATCATTATCTTCACTACCTGTCTTCCTGAGCTCTCTAATAAACATCCCCAGTCCAAACTGTATCGACTAACCTAACTGGCAATGTGATGATTTCCACCTACTTTTAGTACTCGTGCAGAAGTTACATCAAATAAGCTATATAGATGTTTGAACCTTCTCCTAGTTGACAGAATCTACATACTGGTGGTAATCTACAATTCATTCTACACTCGCCTACCGCGAAAATGGAGACACGAGATCGTCTGAGTTCGGTAATCATGCCTAACCTCCAAGCTTGTGGTATCATGTTGCAATTGAAACATAGGATTCCAAGTTGCACTACCTCAGACATCACAATGCTAGATCCTCGAGTAACTCTAAAAATGGAGATAAAGAAAAACTTTCTCAAAACAAATTTCTTCTATTATAGAAAAACTTTCCAAGATAATCTCTTTATTCCATGCAAATAAGTGGACTCATCAAAAGACATTCTGCTTCTGGTTCGTGTCATCGAAGAGTGTGTGAATTATAAATAGTGAGGAGCTAGTTCAAGCTAATTGGAAGTAGATTTTGAGAGTTCATTCACCATGATTTGCCCTTTAATCACAAAGCATTTCACTTCTGCTGCTTGGTCCCATTCAAGGGGAAACTTCAATCTACTTCACAGATGATAACCGAGAACAGCTCATGCAAGAACTAACCACATGCTCACCATTATAAATGTATCTACAGCATACAAGATAATTGTGAAAAGAAATGTGAATTTGACATAATGATGCACCCATTGTGATGTTATGGGTCCATAGTGAATTCATTTTTGGCACATCACAGAAGACTGAAAAGAGGTTTTTTTTTCTCCCAATATTTGCATAGTAGCATAAAGAGAGGAAAATGACCACAAACCAACAAATAGAAGTTCTGCTTCCTTTCTAATGTGATATATTCTAAAAATATTAGTGAGATTCATCTATGCACAAATTAGCAAAGATAGACTAACAGAAATGAACTATAAAAGAAAGTAGGTAGGAGCTTATACTTACTAGCGAGCTGGCGAAGTTTTTCCAACCAAGCATTTATAAACGACGGATATTCTGTCTAACCTAGGTCGTCCTCCAAGTTCAGAAAGAGAGTAGTAAACATCAGAACGGAGCACATAGTTCCTGCCATTTTCTGCTACATATAAACATCTTCCCCTTCAGTTTTCCTTGCAACTAATGACAAAGATTACGTTGTTAACCATCATCCTTGCGAGGCAAGAGCAACTATGATATCACCAAGCAAGTACTCAAGAAAAGAACCAATGTCGAAATTTCAATTTCTCAGTAACCAAACAGGGGGCGAAATCCCTAAGCATAAATCATCTTGTTTCATTAACAGGAGCAATAAACATACAATTGATACGTGAACTACTTCTTTTGAATGGAACCACGGAACTGAACTTCAGTTGATGTCGGAGTCATCAAAATCATCCTCAAAGGAGTTGAAGAAATCGGCGTCCGCGAGCTTGTTCTCGGCTGAGATCACCCCCTCGCTAAATATCTCGAGTGGATCCACATCATCCACGTCCATCGCGACCGTGGATCCCTGTTCTTCCATCTCCGCGAAGAAATCCATCGGTGTAGGCCTCATTTCTCCCCCCTTGCTACTGCAATCAAATCAACACCGAAACCCCGATGTTTCTCACAAAATTGGAGCAGTAATTTGAGCTATTGTAAACTTCTACTTCGTGAATCAATGGAAGATGAACAAAAAACCAAAGGGGCAGAGAGAAATTTGTTTGGTGGGATATTCACAGCTATATCTTTGATTTGTAACTCACCAGAACAGGATTTTCCACGAGATGAAGCAAATTAGAACAGATTCAAATCAAAATCAAGGCAAAGATGATGAATTCGTATGGGATTTTTACCTGATCGTTGTCTATACAAACCAACTGAGTTCGAACTCTGAGTTCCCTTTTTCCTCTTTTTTTCTCACCTTCGCCTTACGCCGAGGAAGAAGAAGAAACGGACAGTGCCCTCCACAGACAAATCAATTATGAAATAAAATATTATTTTGATGTTGTACTTTTCACTGTTTAAAGTTAACGTTGTAACTATTTTGCTCCTTAATTACAAAATTTCACACAAAATTTTACGCCTAATTTAAAAGTATATAGACTATTTTGGTCCTTAAATACATAATTATTTTTATTTTGAATGTATTGTAGTGTTGAAACTATGATAGAAAAAATAAGATAAAAATAAAATTAAGGAATCAAATAAATTTTAAGGACCAACCATGAGAAAGGGATTAGATTGTTACCAAACAATGCTCGCTTTGGCAATAAAAATATTTTATTTTCAAATCCAATTTTGTTCTCCAAAATTTTTTTATCTTTTGAAATTTATAATTTTATTTTAGTTAATGACTTTCAAAACATTTATATTAGTAGTAACTAGTTTAGTCTTTACTTTTAACAATTTGATGATATAGTACTAAAAAAAACAATAAACAATTTGATGCTATAGTTTTGAGTATGATATGCTAATGTGCTAACGGGAACATGCATTTAAATCACATATATTTAAGATGGTTAATGAATGTTTATTTATTATTTATTTAGTATTATTATTATTATGCAGAAAACATTGCCCGTTGATTAGTAGCTGACATTTTTAGGGTTTTCCATGGAAAAAAATACATATATGACTATTATTATTATTGTTATTGGTATACATTATCTATGAGAAAAATTAGGGCTTAGATTTGAAAGAAAGAAAAAAAAAAACTAACTTTGTATTTTCAAGAGAGATTGTGCTATTAGTGCCGAATATCCATGTTCTAAATGGGGTGAGCAGGTATCTCATTTAGATCAAGGTTGGGATGTAAGAAAAGTTTTCTCCCAATATTATTTTCAAGGATAGGAAATTCATGTTTTTTTAACAAAGTTCAAAATATGTGGTTTAACCAATTCGACGGGAACAGAAAACCCTCTTTGATCTCCAACTTTTGAAAAAAAAGGTGAGGTTATGTTATATATTTATAAACCTTCCGTCTCAATATGTTTCTAAAGCTTTTAACCAGAGAGATCTTTAAACAGTAATAAATTTTGTGTTCTAGCACTAGTATTTCCTTGCAACATTAATGACAAAGAATTACACAATTAACCAGAGAGAGAGCAAATATAGTATTATATGCCACATCAAGAACTCAAGAAAGTAATCAATATCAAAAAATGTCAATTCTTCTGAAGCGCTGAAATCCCTAAAACGCTAAAAATGGAAATGGCATATACTAGAATCTATCACACATCTTGTTTCATCATCAACAGAAGCAGAAGTAAACATACAGTTGGTAAATCGATTACTTCTTTTGGATGAAACCACCGGAATTGAATCGAATCGGATCGGATTGAATTTTATTTGATATCGGAGTCATCAAAATCGTCCTGGAAAGCGTTGAAGAAATCGGCGTCGGCGAGCTTGTCGTCGGCTGAAATCTCCCCCTCGTCATGTACGTCCACGTCCATCGTGGTCGCCGCTTCATCTTCTTTTATCTTCAGCAATTTATTCAGCAGTCTAGACCTCACTTCTTCCCCTGCTGCAGCCATCAAATCGATGATACGGAAATCACGACACGTTTAATTTCTTTCTTCGGAGATTTGCAAAATCGAGAGAGACTGGAGAAGGAAAATGAAAATGAACAGGATCGAAGGGGATGGAGAGAAATTTACTTTGGTGGAAGTGGAACATGGAGGCGATCTCTGATTTGTCGCGCATCGGATAGGATTTTTAGTTCCCTGAGATCAAGCAGATTAGAAACGGATTCAAATCGGAAGAAAACAAGAAAGGAAATCAAGGAGAAGAGATTCAAGATTCTTTACCTGATCGCTGTTTGTTTATAGGAAGAAATTTTGATTTCTGAGTTCGATTGAGAAGAAGCGAATTGAGCCCTCGCAACGGCGCTTCCCGCTTGTGCTGAATGCCCTTCTAACTTCTTATTAACTGATCGGTTCTTTCAAAATGCTTCATCAAAATATCATCCGTATTTATACGTATTTTATGCTTCTAAATAAATTGAAAATGATTAATATAAATATTCTCCGCATATTAGTGCTGTTTGATTGATATTTTTCACATTTTTACAATCCTTTACATTATATATTGTTTGCAAATTATTTCACAAGACAACGAGAGTTTGGAGACTAAATTGATACTTTATAAAAGTACAAATAATACAATGTGATTTTAACCAATTTTTGATGGATTATGTTCATTATACTTTATCTTATAGCATAAACTTTTCTAAACTTTAGAAACCAATTATCATGAGAATAAAAACAATTCGTGTGACCTTAAATGGATCTCGTGCGTTCACTTTGATCCTTGTACGTTCAAAATATTTATTTTGATCATGTACTTCCAAAATATTTGTTTTGATCCCTATACTTAGAAAGTGACCACTTTTATTCTTGCTTTCAAATTTTAACACAAAGTTCACAATTTAATAAAATCATAGTTATATTTTTTATAAAAAAAATATTGAACACATTCCGTTTGAATGGAATAGAAAAAGAAAATTATATTAAAAATAATATTATAATGGATAAAAGAGTCCAAAAATGAAGATTTTAAAATTACAGCAACTAAAATAAATCAAATCAAAGTTGAGATTACTTTGATCAAAATAAACTAAATCTAAAACTGAAAATATAAATATCAAAATAGTATTTTAATCTAAAATTTAATATAATTTATTAGATTTAATCCTGAAATTTTTTTTTTGGCTGATGTAGAACACTATACGACACCGTGTAGGCGAAAATGAAGGCGCTTTAACAGAGAAGGAGGGAGACAAAAGGATAACGTGGCGAAATGAAGGCCCTGCACCTGCAGCTGCAGCTGCTCCCTCATCCCTTCTCCGCCCTTCCTTTTCACCATCCATGGCGTCTCTCTTCTCGCTCCCGTTTCTCCTCTGCAACCCGCTACCGTCTCTGGGATTCTAATGCCGAAGACGAAGAACCCTTCGACCCCGGCATTCGCTTCCGAACCACCCGGAACAAGCGGCGGCGATGGTGGTCCGACGACCCGGCGCCGGAGTTCGAGGAAGAATCTTCTGGGATCTTGGATGAAGTAATCGACAGTGTCTGGATTTTCAAGGTAATCCCAGTCCTCCCTTTGATGCTCTTCTTCATTCTCTTTTCTACTTCAACGTCCCTGCAACGGTTAATCACAGAGTAAACTGGAAGAATCCAGGACAGAATTCAGTTTGCAGAGGAAGTGTTTGTTAAAATTACCAAAAGACTTCCTTCTTCTTGTTGTTGTTGTTTTTCTTCGCGTGCAGGTGTTCAAATCCTACGGTTGGACTCTTCCACCCATAATCATCTCACTGCTGCTGAACTCAGGGCCTAAAGCTTTTCTAATGGCGCTGGCCCTTCCACTTGCCCAATCAATCATATCTCTGGCGTTGGAGAAGCTGTGGGGAGCAGCAGAGAGAAGGCCAAAGCGCAGCGCCAGAAGCAGGACCAGGAAGAGGTCATTTTACAGCACTGAGACTAAGGTTCAAGAAGAAGAAGAAAAAGGAAAGATGGGGTATGGATATCAGTCATGGGAAGCTAGAAAGGAGGGCAGAAATGGGAGCAGTTATGGGGGATGGGAGGATTTGGATGGAGTTGGGTCTGAGAGAGAGCCAAAATCTGGGGTGAGACCCAAGAATCAGAGCAGCACCACATCAATGGAGAAGGGTAAGTTGAGTTGGAGAGAGAAGAAAAGTGATACTCCCTTGCTGTTAAGATTGTTGATTGCTGTTTTTCCATTTTTGGGTTCATGGACTAGGATGCTTTAGTTGAAGGCTCTTCTAGACTTCTATACTTGGGTTAGAGTTTACTCATTGTTTTGGTTACATTAAACCTCAAGAAGTTACTCATCTTGTTGAGAACAGGATAAAAAATTCACAATAAACCTAATGTAATAGTGTGAGTTTCTATACTTCAGTATAAGTTAACCTGTAAGTCACTGCAATATTATTTCTTCTGCATAGCTACATGCTCCATGCAAATGAACTTAATATTACAGGATAACAGTCTAATCTTACATATTAAGAATCAAAAGCTTGGTAGGATAAGTTTGTTCTTAATTGATCTAACTCTTGAAGTGTTCGGAGCACAACTTGACTTATTTCACGGGACAACGGGACAACTACCTGATCCTACCTCACCGTCTAACTAAATCTTTAATTCTTATCCATAAGAAACTTTTGAGTTATGGAAGAAGCTAAAGATTGAATGGAGAATTTGATTAAAATATAAATCAAACATGCTGCTTGTATTTAACTTGTAAATAATTGCTATTACATAAACCAATAGGATTATAAAATGTAAAGAATGTTGATTAGTCAAGATAACTGACCATCCGGGTTAAATAATGCCAATCTAATTCAAAGAAAAATCTCCATCATCTTGAAAATAATTGTACCGTGTTGACATTGCAAGCAGAAGCCGGGTCCCTGAGGCAGCTGCAGAAACCATCTTCGTCCTTGGGGAATGAAGCTGGTAGAGGACGATCTGGAATCACTCCAACCTGTAGAATATGAATATCCAGGTGAATTAGAACTTCGACTTTCTGAGAAACGTCTGTGTGGGTAAGAAATAGAGAGACCTTGTCAATGTCGATGCGAGCTGGTGTCTCGTAACGAGCTACGGTAACAGCCAAGCCAGAACCATCGGATAGTTTAAAGACCGACTGGATTTTACTGCAAGGAGGGATGTGAATTCTTGTTAGGAATTTGAACATTATGTCATGTTTTGTGTTACAGACTCGCAGAAAAATTCTTACCCTTTACCATAAGTTGGTTCTCCAAACAACATAGCACGTTTATTGTCCTTTAGTGCTCCGGCGAGTATTTCACTCGCACTAGCAGTTCCCTTATTCACCTGATATAAGCGTGTTGAAGAAATAATCACAACAAAGTTCACAAAAGGCGAACAAAATTTCCGTACACTCGATCACAAATACTCAGATTTAAGACTAAAAATGCTGCAAACTAACTAGCAAAGAATGATGAAGGGGAAAATCAAATTTGCGGATAGGAAATATTAGGGGATTTGTTATACATGAAGAAAATGCATGGAGTCCATCTAAGGAAGTAAGGTTTAAATACAAACCACGAGAAAAAAAAGTATCTCAATGAAACGCTAAAGATTAAACTTAAATTTGAGTTACTAAAGTAGTTTAGATGGAATAACAACAGATGAGACATTCGAACAGGGTTTTACATAGAAAGAGAATAGAGCTGATAGTTTACCAACACAGCTAAAGGTTCTGAAGCTGCTATAGTTCTACTTCCATCTGAATCATATATATCTCGAACACCACGACTGTCGCAAATATACACAATAACACCTTTGTCCAACCTGAATAAGAACTGATAATATCAGAACCAGGCTGCAGAGTGTAATTCTTTTATGTCAAGCTTTATGTTAAAAATCTGATAAAATATTGATATCTGAAATACATAAGTCAGTTAGCAAATGAAATGATCGATGGAAAAGAGGAAGGACGAAATTATAGATCTTGCACATGCAGAAGATAAACTTCACCTATAAATATCAGTTCACCCAATTCGTTAAAATACATCTAAACATACTTAAAAAGACGGCCTATTTTACAAGCTGGCCCCACAATGCAAATAATTTTTGGCTTGAATCTAAATCTAAACGGAAGGTCTTTGGCTTTAGGGGGCATAGACACGGCAGTCCCTTTTCCCTGTTCCTTTTCATAGTGGTTATGGACATTCTTAGCGGACTTTTGGGTAGAGGTTTGGGTACAAGATTAGTGGAAGGTTTCGGTATGGGAAAGGATAAATTTCAACTCAGTTTGCTACTGATACCATTTTCTTTTGTAGTAGGAGGGAGGATCCGTTTGTTAACCTTGGTAAGATCCTTCAAGTCTTTGAGTGGTCTTAGTATAAATAGGGAAAAATATCAAGTGGCTGTGGCCGGTATCAATTGTGAGCCTAGTAAGCTTGGAAGATGCTTGTCTGGTCCTAAGATATGGTATCTAGCGGTGACTTATTTAGGACTTCCACTGGGTCATAATCCTAGGTCACATTACTTCTGAGATCCTGTGAGAAAAATAAAAGTGTCTATTCAGCTCGATTCTTTTCCAAGGGTGAAAGGTTAACATTAATCCAGGTAGTCCTTTGTGGAATTCTTTTATATTTTCTCTCTTTATTCAGAATTCCCTATTTAAAATTGTAACAACATATGCAGTCCATTGTCATATTAAACTATTAATGAAACTAACAACATGAATACACATCAGATAATACTCAAATAGCACGTACCAAATCTTGGCAATCTCAACTCCTTCAGGAAAAAGACCACCACTGCAACAAGATCCATAGTTCAAGACGTGTGCTAAAGAGCAAACTTAACTGATGAAAAGTGAAAGCTAATCACCTATTGTCCCGAAGGTCAAGTACAAAAGCATCAACCCTGTTACTCCTTAAAGAATCAATAGCTTCCTTCACAGCACCTGCAAAGGATGCAATTCTCAGAACAAAATAAGCATGTTGCCTCTTGGAATCCCTGGACGACTTAGAATGATACGAGATAATCTCCTGAACATAATGCCGTTTACAAATGATGTACAGATAAGTATAATGAATGAAGGAGATTCTTGTTTGAATTATTAGAATATCTTGTTTCTGAGTGTCAAACTAGAATTGCTCTAGCTATAAAAAAAACAAATAATCTTTCTTACCAGATGACTTTTGATTAAATGATGTAAGCTTGATGTAACCAATCTTAGACGAATCGTCCCCTGAGCCAGGCAACTCACAGATTCTAGACTTCACTGGATTTATCGCAACTTTCTCTCGCCTGGAAGGCAACATTAAATTAGTTTAGAATCCCTCAGGGTATTTGGGGAAAAGAAGACTTATTGCAGCTTCATTCCTAAGTAAGCTACATGATGTCAGCAGAATCTCTAAGGACGCAAGACTTTTGGCTCCTTAGTCCAGCTCCAAATTCATTAATATAAGATAAAGGGACAAGTTGCAATGAAAAAAAATATATAGCAAACTGAAATATTCTACACTGACGAGAAACTACCATGCTTTACAAGAGAATCTAATCTATTGCTGAAAGGAGGAAGGCAAGTCATTGTCAGTTAGAACTTAGACATAAAAAATGTGGAAGATAGTCTTACACTAAATCTAGATGCTTTACACTGGGTCCACTTTGAATGGTCAATTGCACAGAACTTCCTTCTGGTCCTCTGTAATCGCTCTTGTTAGATGGTCAGGTAAAATACAATTAAATAGACACCAGATAAGAAATTTGTGCTTCTAAAGAACTTCTGGAAACAACTTTAACCAACTATTAAACACAAGTTAGAAAGTTGGGTCTTCCTTAATCAATAGTTTCCAAATACATCCATAGATAATCTAATTGTATCCCTTTGATGCAATAGTTTGCAGTAATCATCATGATGCCTTATGATCAAGTAGCAAAACAAACCATTTCGTACGTTTCATCCTTCATCTACCAAAATGAAACACCAGATACCATGAAAACAAAGTCCATATTTTTGCATATCTGGACGTAATAACCCAAACACAAACATTTTAGATGACTGTAAATTTATGACATATTGAGATTATATAAGTACCTTCTTATTAATTTTAATTTACTCATTTATTGAAATACATATGGTGACACGACACTGTTTCAACATTTCATGACAAGGAAAGAAACCTACTGCAATCGCTCTGCTGCATCATATATACCCATGGATTCTGTAGTTATCTCATCAATTGCCAGAATAACATCACCAGAAGTAATACCAGCTCTTTCTGCAGGCCCTCCTGGGGAAGCTGAAATGACAACAAGTCCAGCAGGTCCATCAACAATAGTGCGATAACCAATGGACAGCCCTACACCTGTAAGGGCACCTTGAGTACCAGACTGCCTTCAAAGAAGATATTACTAGATTTCAGAGCATTGATTTCATACACCCGTAGGGTCATGTTAACAATGAATGTCACATCTAACTTTGTATATAGTCATTTTTCCAACTGAACCTATCAAAAGGTAGCATCTCCTACCTGCAAACTTTTAAACTTTTCCGGTTCTAGAAATCGAGTGAAGGGATCATCCAGAGTCGCAAGCATCTTCTTTATTGCAGCATCTGAAAGCAAAATTATCAACTAGAGTGGCAGCATTTTAATAAAATGAGTAAACATGTCTAAATTGAAGAGCTAAATTAAYAAGAAGTTTCTCGCCCAGGAATATAATGGAAAATCATTAACCTATACGAGACTGCGCGGTTTTTTGCAGCAAGACTTATTTTTCCCACTCAAACTCGTGAAACAAAATTCTAATTTGAAATATTGTCCTCGTGTTCAAAAAAATTTCAAAGATTACTGCAGACATCATAGTTATATTAGTCTTTTTATATTTCCCAAACTTGTAAATTATTGCATGATTAAATCAATAAAATGATAGAAATTGGCCCTTCCAGAGTGGCCGAGCAACCCCAAAGTCAAATTCACATTACAGCACGAGTAACTCAAGAGTATAATAAACAAAACAATAAAATCAGATGCTCAAATGTTGGGATAAATTTACGACAGTGTGATATTGGAACTGTTTATTCCCGCCATTAGTTCATCACTGTGAAAGTATTCGGTCTACCATACAAGATAAGAAATAGAGAGGAAATTTCGTACAGGTCTCTTCTCGCGTATTCATGGGTTCATTTCTCAACGCATTTTCTCTGTAGCGAAACCAACTTTGTCCATTAAAAGTCTTGTCAATATATGCACGGTCTATTGTTCTCCATGCCTCCAAAAAGAGTAGGTTCTCCTCAGTGAGAGCCCCTGAATAATGGAAGCACATTTAACCATGAACAGTTATAAGAATTATTGTTCGCACGTAGATTCTATGTGGAAATTAAACTCACATGATGGAGTATCCCCAAAAGTAGAAGAAACTGACACCACAAGCATCACACAGACCATCACCCGAGCAAGTTGTACAGAGAAATGCTGTCTAAATTCTTCGATAGAACTCCTGATTCCTCGGAAAGTGTTCCGGTAATTTTTCCACTTGAAGACATACCGATATCGTACCGAAATCAAATCAGACACAGAAGACAAACCGGACGATCGATATCTCCTCAGCTGCTGGAGCAACAAACCATTACTCGATCCACAATTACAGCCCCAAACTCGCTGCCGACCATCAGTAATACCAAGACTCGTCAATCGACCAAACACAGAAGAATTCCACGGCAATACCTGCGTCAGTTACACACGCTACTAAAAAAGTAACCTAAATTTTGCGCCGGCAGAATGAGATTCTGCATTATTATCGACGGAAGACGAAAATGGCGATCGTTTGAAGGAGGAGGAGGAGTACCTTGGCAGTGGCGCGAGAAGTGAGGTTATGGAGATGGTGAATGTTGAAGAAAGCGAAACTCGAGGAGGAAGAAGAAGCAGTAGCACAGCTGGAGAGGACCTCCATTGGAGGAAGAAGAAAGCCTACTGGCCGTTCACCACCATTGCTGATGACTGTACGGCTTTATCCATTGTTATTTTTGCTTCCTGAAACTGAAGAAGACAACGATGGGCTGGGCTGGGCTTGGTGGGCTGGGTGGGCTGGGCTGATATTCGTGGGTCCAAGAGATCCATGGGCCTCATTTATTGGGAAAATAAATTAATAGAACAACTAAAATTATAATTATAAGTTTTGTGGTTAAACTTCTCTTGAAACAATGTATCTTAAAAAAAAAATTGATTGAAATATTACTTCCGTTGTTATGCTTTTAGCTTTCGTTCATTTCAGTTTATGTAATTTTAAAATGTTTATTTTGGTCATTATCATTTCAACTTTGGTTTATATGTAATTTTAAAATGTTTATTTTGGTCATTATCATTTCAACTTTGGTTTATGTTTGTTTATCCTTACACTTTTAAAATGTTTGTTTTAGTCTCTGAACTTTTAAAAAGGGATTATTTTGTTTTCTATTTTTGAAATCCTGACACAAATTATACACAAATAGAAACTCGTCAATGTAAAGTCATGGTTGCATTTCAAGAAATATATTGAGTATAGTTTCGTGTTAAAATTGTGATTGGAAAAATTATAATAAAAATAAAATAAATGGACAAAAATGGTCACTTTTAAAAAGTATGGGGACCAAAACAAATATTTTGAAAATACATGGATTAAAATGAACCAAAATTGAAAGTACTAAAATAATATTTTCACACATTTTTAACGGGTCTAACAACTTTTAGATTCGTATGAATTTACTTGTTAGTACAAAATTTTTTTAATTTTATTTTTGTGTTTAGCGTATTCTTTCTATTAACGTTGTTAGTATAACGATTATGCCACCAAATGTGAACCCAGTCGACATTAGTTCATCATATAATTAAATAATATAAGTAACTAAGTGTTAAACCAACTAAGTTAATAATAGTGATTCGTTAAGTAACTAAATTAAAAAGTATAAGCACTAGTTAGACAATCTAATTCACCCTTTTTTTAGTACAATCCAATTCATTTTAGTAGCTAATTTAATGGGTTTGAGAGATTGAAAATATGTGGAAAAAATCATGAACTAAAAATAATTAATTCTAATTAATGAGTTGCCCACATAACTTATGCCACTTTTTTACACACACAATCTTGTTAAGTGAATGAAGCAACTGAATTTCCTACTACCCATAATCAAACTTAGATTAATTATATAACTTCATAGCTGAAATATTATTTTTGACTTATATACTTTCAGCTTTATTTTAGTTTTTGTAATTTTAAAACGTTTATTTTCATCGTCGTACTTTTGATTTTTGTTTATTTTAATCTCTCTATTTTCAATATCTCTTTAATCTTTGTATTTTTATCTCATTTCTTTTGATTATAATTTTAACACAACATTTCACTCATCAAATTCATACAAATGTAGTCAAATTTTATAAAACGATTTCCATTGTATAATTTTTGTGTTAAAATTATGCAAATAATAACTAAATTAGCTACTTTTTAAAAGTAAAGTATAACTGACTATGGGTAAAAATTGAGAGTAATTAAAATGAACTAAAGTTAAAAATACAAAGACGAAAATAGTATTTAATTAAACATAAATTCATTCCTATTGTCCCATTACAACAAATTGTTAACATCTTTACCATTATATTTTCAAAAATAAAAATAGACTAAATTATTGAAAAAGAAGTATAAAGATAATGACACAATGTAAAAGTATGATTTAACCCAAAGTTATGTGCTAACATTTTTTTTGGTGGGTTTCCAAAAAAGCTTACTATTGTTTGCCTTTAAAAATAGGTCAATTTTTTTTTTTTTCAGTGAGAAAAGGAAGAATTGTCAAGTCATTGAGTAGAATTAAAGCAATGAATTTATAAAGTTGTTTGGCATTTTGCTATTTCAAAGTTTGAACGAGAGACTTTTTGGCCCCAAAATTAAATGCTTCAAAAGTGTGAATTAAAAAAAGCCAAAACTAGGGGCGGCTCCATTCAAATGGTAGGGACGACCTCAAGGTCAATAGTGTCAAAGAGGGCGTGTTGGTTTACGCGACTTAGATTTATGGCAAAAATTTCTGGTACTACGGTAATATGAACATATTATCAATAGCACTTGAGAATGTTATAGGACTATCGAAAATTTTAGAATACTATAGGAATATCTACTCCCTCTCACTATAATTTTTCCTTTATAAATAATAAAGGGTATGCACTTATGTTATTTTCTCGAATAATAATGATAATAATAATTCTTTAATTTTGTTGAACCCTACATTATTCTTAAACGAGATTAATATGACTAACAATGAATAGAAGTAGTATCTGTATCCTGATACTAGAAATCCCCATGAACTCTACAACGTTATTCAAGAATTATTAAAAAAAAAAAACCATGTGAAGGGAAAGAGAAGGAGTCAGTGTGAGGAATACTAATGGCAAAATGTTTACCCTTACCAAAGATAGATGTTTGATAAAAAAAAAAAAAAAAAAAGACCAACTCTACCAACCTCGGCTCGGACTGAGAGCTGCTCGAATGATGAACTGGACGGGTGACATGCAAAATAGAATACACTCCGATGCGAAAGTCAGTAGCTGGCTGAACTAAACTCGAGAGAGAATTTAGTATTTGCGTACCTTTTAACGGAGCAAATGAATCCTCGGCTCTTTAAGGTTGCCACGAAACTCGGTGTGTTGTTGTGGAGTCTGTCAGAGAAGAGGCTGAGCCGTATAAGACATGTGCGTCTCATGTGATTCAATTATTTATGTCACGTGTGAGCTAGGAAATCACCTCCAACAATAGATACAGTAGAATAAAATCTAATCCTACAATCAAGTGTTTAATCCTTTCAACAATTTTCGGAGCCGATTAATAATTATAAAACTGTTTTCTATATAATAGTTTTTTGATTAAATTACAAATCTAGTCACTAAAATTTAAAAGACTAATTTTATTTGTTGTTTGTTGTTTACATTTCCAAATTTTGTTGAAAACATAAAAAATTAAAAATATATATTATCTTACCATTCTTAATTTATAAAATATTTTTAAAAAGTAAATAAAACGTAAAAGATTTGAATATTCAATTTTAAACAATTAATTTTCAGATAAACTTTTACGTTTTTTTAATTTATAATTTTAGAGAATAAGAAATGATTATAAAAAATGTTTCTATTTGTTTTTTTATAGAAACAAAAAATAAGAAAGAGTAATTACCAAACGCAATTATGTTATTTATTTATTTATTAAAACACATGAAATGTGAAACAATAAACAAAAAATAAGAAACGAGCACAAACGTTACCAAACGAGTCATCAACATTTAACTTTGTGTCTAATAAATTTTTAAGTTATTAAAAAATATTTTAAGTTTCATGTACCTATTAAAGACGCAATTTTAAACTACAGTCCTAATTGTAGGATTGGAAATTTTTAAAAATGTCATATAAAGTCAAAATTCTATYAGATACCAAGTTAAAAATTAATCTATCAGATACAAAATCGAAAGTGTAGAAGGTTGTTAAGAATTCGTAAATCTACTAAAAAAAGCATAAATATGTAATTTAACCAAACTTCTTTTTAAGAATTTAAATATATTTTTTTTTTTAATATGTCAAAAAGTTTACAATTTTATAAAAGTGACGTAATCTAAATCAAGATTTAATTGAAATGTGGTGAAAAATAAGTGTGTAAATGTGTAATTCAAAAGATAAAGCACGCTTAAAAAGTTGAACAAGAAAATAATAAATTAGCTTTTTTTTTTCTTTTTCAAATTAAATTGAATCTTGAACTAGAATCATGTGCACTATATTATTATTTTTTTTATTTAGTTAATTGAGATGGAGAAATTTGTCGTTATTGATTTCATTTGAGTGGGGATTTGATTGGAAACTTTGAAATAGTGTAGATGAAAGGATGGAAATTCTTGATCAATTCAATCATTAAAGTCTTTTATTTCATAAATTATGTTCTTAAGTGTATAAACTTTCACAATGTGTCCATCGAATCTACCAACTCATCAAATAAAACGACAAATTATGAATGCGCTGTTTTTGAAATTATTATTATTTCAAAATTTAATACTCTTCACAAAATCAAAGTGCTTCGTTGCTTTTTCAAAAGCTCCAAACTTTTAGCATATTCTTAAAGCAAAGCATAAAAGATAATTCCACTTTGTGATTCTCATAATTATGTATTATATGGAATATTTAAGGAATATTTGGTGAATCTCTTCCCACGTGCCTCTATATGTTTATATAAATTTGAAAACAATCTTTTCATAACCCAGTATTTTAATTAATTGAATTATATTCAAATTTATCGAGTTTTAAAATATGTCATTATTATATATAATAATAATAATAATAATAATAATAATTTGCAACTGATTGTGCTTAATTGGTCGGTGGTTTTTGTAATGATTATTTCTTAAAACTTCTAATTTATTCCCTAAATTTCAATAATCGTGTTTATTTAATCCATAAGTTATAAAAGATTTCAATCAGGTTCATAAGTTTTTAAATTTGATTGTAACGAGTTATATATGGTACATACATTTATGAATACAAAATTACAAATTAAATTTGCAAATAAATTTTGAAACTCGCATATCTAACTAGAATCACAAGTCTCATGTTATTTTGACACTTACAATAATTGTCTTTGTTTAGTTCATAAATTTTAAAAATTTTCAATTATAATCCTAAAATTGGTGTTGTGAATTTATCGTGTCGGTACGATTAATTATATATGTGATATTACTCTATAAAATAAGTTATTTGACTTGAAATAATATACAAATGACAAAGTAAATAGGCAATGGAACAAAAAAGAATTGACATATACAAACTCTTACAATTATTTTAATATACTATAAATTAAACAATCCTATAAATTTAAAACTATAACATAAATTCGCTCTAAACCGAAGCTTAGGGCAGTCAAGAGCCAAAATATTTCCTAAGCCCAATTAGGAGATAATTAAGATAAACTAATAACCTCTAGAAGAGTAGACTATTATTTAAATATTTGCTTG